CCGCTTTACATGTGTCATACCATTAACTAATTTCAATAAAGTGAACAACTTTCTTTTGGCAAATAATATAATACGATATCGTATAGAGTGTTGGAAAATTATAAAATGTTTAAAATATTTTTTTTATCGATAACTTATTAATAAACAATGAGTGTTGATTAAAAATCTACTGAGAATTACTCGAGACAGAGACCTTGACAACATATTGTCAAAGTCAAAGTCATCGGAGGGGTCCGTACCTCTGAAATTACCCAAAGTTTTTTGATCGATTCAAATCAAATAGAAATTCATTTTTTTTATTCATTTCGAATCAGAATTGTATTAAATCGACTCAAATAATACCAGATGGAAATTTGAGAGCAGATATAGCTTTTTTCTTGTTATCGCAAAATGCCCCCGCGCACTGAAATGCTCGCTCAAGGAGAAAGTGAATGTCAGTTTCATGACAACATCCACTTTTCATTCACACATTGCAGGTATACAATTTATAGTACGTGTTACATCCAATTATACTGTTTAAGTAAATAGTAGACGGTTTCTTTATTTTTAACGTTAATAAAAGGTTATGACAATTGCAGACATTATAGATTGAGCGTAAGAGTAGTCGCGAATTGGGCGAGACACGGAGGGTGGAAGAGAGGGAGAGTAAAGAGAGGGGATGACGACGAGATTGCTGGCGAAATGAGGGAAGAAGAAAGGAATGAGGAGAAGAGCTCGGAATTCGGAAGAGAGAACACAAAAATCAGCCTCTTAATAGGGACGGATTGTGCCTGGAAATTCGCGTGCAGGATTTTCGGCTGTTTGGGAGGCGATCGAGAGACAGAGTCCAGCCGGTTCACCAGGCCCCACTCGAAGAGACCAAGGACGCGAGATACCACGGAGCATCACGGTGGAATCTGTGAAAGATAATTGTCACGGAGTCGCTCCGTGATCCATCAACCCCAGCGACGCCCGACGAAGCAGGAGGATAGACGCAATCCGGACGACCCGAAGGAAACGGCGCATCGTTCCCCGAACGGTGGGCTCTCCGCTCTCCGTTCTCCGATAAGTATTCCGCGATTCATAGTATCGCAGGTATCGCGAGACCTGGACCATGTAAAGTTCCGCGGCGTGAATTGATTATACCACTTGCCGACCGCGCTTCTTAGGAATAGCATTATGCGCTCAATTCGTGATCTCTCTCCAGCGATTGAAAGTGTAACAAATCGAATGATTGTCATAGATCTATCAGTTGTCGAATTAAAATTGTAAACTACAAGTTGCGCGTCTTCCTTACATTATCCCGTTCCGTTGAAATCGTTACAAGGTTTCTTTCTTACTATGTAATTTTTTAATCTATTTTTACTTAATCTCCTCAACTTAATTCTCGCCATTCTTTCGTATAAATAAACAAGATTTAAATTTTCTTTAATGGCTCGAGCTGATATGGCAAAATTTTTTTTTACTTCTTGATTTATTATCCTGTCATTTCCCATCGATGTTTTTCTTGGTTTGCCACATTTTTCTAAATCATTTACAGTACCGTATTTGTCGTTTTTGTTATAAATTTTCTTCGCTCTAATTATGGAAATTTCGTATCTTTTTGAAATTTCTTTTAATCCTAGGCCATTTTTTCTGTCCTTAACTATCATCCGTCTACATTGACAGACTTTCTTCTATTACTTCTATTCATTTATGTAAGTAATTAAAATTAAAAATAAACAAGTTAGAAGGATCAAAACATGTACAGAAAGAGAAAAATCAACAAATTTTTAGTAGTTTATTATAAAATATGTATT